AAGGAGCTCTTGACTGTTAGACAATTTCTCCTTGTCGGAATCATAGGAAATTTATAGAGAACAGTGTAGACAATGAGGATACTAACGTAAGGGGTAAAATCAGCCCCGTAATGTTTTTTTTTTTTTACAAATCATCAGGATCGTACTTTTGAGAAGACCATAAAATTATTGTAAGACGTTTCTTTCAACTGCTTAATTAAGTAAAGGTCATTATTTGTCGCCCTGCGCGAGGGGGGGAGGGGGAGCGGCAATTTAATGGCAGTCCATTCTTTATAGTTCCCCCTCTATACTCTGTTGGTGACGACTGATGCCCCCTCTATTCCCCCTTAAAACCATGTGGTCCTTCCCAAAGTACTTTTTTCCACTCCCCCCCGCATAAATGTGACTGGTCGCTTAATGTATGCTTTGTTATAAATCTATTACGGACACAATGAACACAATTCAGATTGCAAAGAGGTTTCCTTGTACCAACGAACTACACAAAGAACATTTTAGGAAGTCTGAGTAGGGTGTGTATGTTGTTAGGGTTGTCTTGGTGTACGATGAAACCACACACACACTCATACCCCTGACCACCCCCCTCCCGGTCAAAACGCTCGAAAACAATTGACAGATGCATCAGAAGATAAACAAGACTAATTGCACATTGTTGTTATCTCTGACCAACCTTCTCTGTTGATAAGTAACATGATCTTCTCACTCAGTGTTTTGGCAGTGCTGCGAGATGCTAGTACTCTCATTACGATGTTACTCGGGAAATCTGTAAGTAAGAGAGATAAATTGTAGTAAGTTCCACCCCAGAAAATCATTGGAATGTTCAAAACCGTGTTCAAGTCGGCCCCGCTTTAGAGAGTTATCAACAGAAAACTACTCCTTGCGACATAAATATATTGTTATATCTACAGTTGAAGCCGTTAAGGGAAGCACATAGAGAATATTGTATGGCTGCGAGGAGAAACGAAATTTCTCTTGGAGTGTTAAAAATTCTTTTACTCGTTTGCGAAATAATTCTCAACACAAGAGAAATTTGACATCTCCAAGCGGCCTGTAATCTTCTATTTATTATGGAAACACCGATCAAAAAGCAAACGATTTCACTTTCGCGGCGAAAGCCGCGATTTATTTTGTAACAATTGTAACAGTGTTATTTTTTCGTGTGAAGATAAACTAAGATAACATGTTATTTTCTAGTGTGAAGATATCGCATTTTAGCGCAAAAGCTCACCTGTTATTAGATTGGTGTTTTAATAATACCTCTTGCTAACCGACTTTAAGGTCCGCAGGGTAAGTTACGAACCGCATTAACGGCCCAAGCGCGGAGGCCTTAAATCCAGGCGGAGAAAAACAATATTCCGTAACNTTTGTGTCTAGGCCTGTCTGTCTACCTGTATTCCAGAGCTAATCAGTCTATATTCCAATGTCTACGTGTCTTTCAATTTGTCTGTGCATCTGTGTGTATCTCTCTATGTACGTGTATCCTTCCCTTTTTTTTGTCATTTATTTCTTTGAACATTAAATCTTTCATAGGTAAAAATCTTTTTGGGAGTACTTTAAAAATATGCCTATTTTAATACGGTCTTTTCTGAAATCAATCACACATGTACAACTCAGACTTTATTTACCCTCTTTCCTGTTCATAATCTCTATCGCCAGTTCTGTAGGCAAGACAGAACACAGAAGTTGGGAGAGAATTTCCTTCTCCAAGCCACACATACAACCAAAAATCTCAATTAACTTTTGGCGCAGTGATTGTCTCTCTTCCTTAAAATTAAGAACAAATTTACCACATGAGCTTTGAACTCTCTGGTACAAGTTACATTCAACCCTGTATATCAAAGATCGACATAGTAACTCTCCTAAATATCAGCTGGATATTTATCATAAAGGTAGTTCTGAGAATTTGGTGTTTAAATGGCCGGTCATTATTTACTGCTGGGAAGGGGGAGAAGGATCATCAAAGGATTCTTTTTTGAGGGAGTACCATGGTTTTCAGGGAGAACACAGGGTATCAGTCCTTGCTAACTGAATATAAAGGGGAGGGGGACCATAAAAAATTGACTGCTGATGGGGAGGGATCATTAGAATTCTTCAGAGCCTTGGGGGGAGGGGAGGGGAGGGTAAAATTTATTGTGACAAAACCAAAGTCCCCCTAACACCCTCTCCCCAGGGTGATAACTTTCGGTAATGACTCATCTCTAAGTCAACAATAAGACAGTTTTTTTTACATCTTGTAATGACCCTGAAACAAAAAAATCTGAGTTCCCATGAGGAATTAAACCTGAGATCTTTGAGTTGTGACCTCTGTTCTACAGCTAGAGAGAACTCTATGGTAAGCTAAATACCTCCTAACATTTTGTTAGACTACTATGTGGACAGTTAACCAGTGTGAGAGCAAAGTGTCTTACCCTGGGACACTACACAAGGAGCCAAACCGAGGCCTGTAAAAGTTTTGAAAATGATACAATAAAACTATCTGGTAAAGAAACAAAAACGATTGGTTTCGGTGCCAGAACCTGCTCTCCTCTGCTCTAAATTTTGATTTTAAAACATGGCTTTGGGCCCAATAAGTTATCAGGTCTTTTGAGAAATGGACCCCAGGTCTCAAACCCAAAAACAAAAAGAAAGAAAAATTTGGAGAAGCTTGGACAGTCAAGGGCTTTCTAACTTCTGAATATTATAAAATGTACTTTGCATTACATGAATACATAATTACCATTTGGAAGTAGACAACAAGCATGTTGACATAATCATAATCATCAAGCTTGAGTACAGTTCGACAGACTGCGGGATCAGCATCCAGCTACAAAAACAATACAAATTCACCTGACTTTTTCATTCCCTTAAGGTCCTGTTTGAGACAAGTGAAGTAATCAGTCATAATTCCATGTTCTGAATTTCGTTTTTTCTTTTGTTTCTTTCCCTTGGCATTTTACCCAATGATTTCTTGTGCTGATGCTTAGTCACATGACTTTAAACAAACCTAACTGAGCATAAGCTGCATGAAAAACATCGTGTCTAGCCTCTGTTGACTGTTCCTACTTTAGGAACTGAATAGTTTTACTACATAACAAACTATTCTATCAATGTATTAGGGCATGAAAATGTCAAAAAAATTAAGAGAGCTCTGCATGACATGTACAGACTTTTACACAGATGAATCTTGATATGCCGATAATAACAATTACTGGTAACTTTTTACACCCTAACATCAGTATGCATATTCTCCATACTGTTTCCATGGATTTCGTATGGTACTGACTAAGAGAATTGGCAGACAATCGAGAGCCTCTTTCATCAGCGATCATTTCTGTTAGTTATTCTCACGACCTTAATGTTTTAATTCCGAGAAGATACTGTCAGGAGAAATTCGATGGCAGTTACTCTTAAACAAAGGGGCTACCAAAACCATTTGTACACCTCCTAACCTCTTTAGCGTTCAAGAGTTGAATGATTCAAGACACCTTATGTTATATAAATGTAACTTGACTGACCAAAATACTGAGCAGGTTTTTCAGGAGTTTGCTAAGTATCCCTTCATCATCATGGACAGCCCAGCTTCTTTGCTGCGAGTCTTCCTTGTGTTCAGTCAGCTCATTAAGAATTGCAATTAGTTGCTGGCCTTCATGAGATTGAAGGAGTGCCTCTTCATCTTCACTGCGAGACTCCTGGTCAAGCCAAACAAGTGAATGAAATCAATTATTTCAAATATATGCTGTTGCTTCATATCAAGTTTAACCTTGGTTAAATGTAGGAAATTGTATGAACATAAATGAGAAGATCTCAATGGGGTTGACCATTGATGTGAAATGAAAAAAAAAAAGTTAGCAATCAGCCTAACCAAGATTGAAACATTTTAACCATTAATTGTAACAAAAGTTAACCCTAAAAGTTTTTCCTTCCTACCATTTGTAATTTTTGTGTCATTTTGGGTTAGCCATAACCATTAAATAGCCAAAATTTCAACCAAATAGCTGTAAAAGCCATCAACCCATTGAGACCTTCAAATTGATTTATGACTAACCCTTTCCCTCCCAGATCTCATGAGTAATTCTCCTAACTATCTGCCATATGATTCTTAAGATGTTGGTTTGGCGAATTTGGTATTGGATCAACTAATAATTCCCTAAATGATATTTATCTTTAATCTCTTCACTTGTTCACTTGATCTTGCCTTTATATCGTAAGGAGAAATTCTGTCATGGTTACTCATGACAGTTTAAGGGTTGAATGGACAATCAAAAAAAGAGTGTTTTGAAAGTTTTCTTAATTTTATAAGCCAAGACCCTTCAAATCAAGACAAGAAGCCATAAATCACAAAATGCAATAGCATTTGTTTATCATATTCTGAAGAAAATCCAGCATGTAAATTAGGAGTAAACTCTCACTGCTTTCCTGAAGAAATGAAGGGTGAGCTCATTATTAACCCATTAATGGCCGCAGCTTTTGTGGAAAACTGTGTTTTGAAGCTAGTCGAGCAGATTTCGGGTCTGTTGTGGTTTTAAAAGCTCAAACTTACCAAAAACCCCTTGACAGCTCGTACACTCGACGGCCTTTTGATCCAAATACAAAATGGCGGCCTGAAAATCTTGGGCACGCGCAGAAAGCAAAATTTGGAGATAGTTTTTGGGTTGAAAAGTAATTCCCCACTTACGACTTTTACTTTTCTCTCTTTCTCCTGCCCTTTTTTTCCCCTCTCCTTGCCTGAAGTTTCTCCTCACTTGCTGGAAATTTAGTAGGCTTCATTTTGGTGTAGAGATTTTTCAAAAACTACTCATTATTTTCAAACCACATGCTCAGAAAGGTAGGTGGGTAATGGAACAAGATTTTCGTGCAGATTTTCAGGTCAAAGTTACATGGTTTTTTGGCTATTTCTCCAATCTCCTTCACTCAATTGCGCTCATTCTGGTATCGTTTGTAAGATATTTTCAACCTGTTCAAGTACGTGCTCAAAGTCGTGCTCCAGGGTTAAAAGTGATGACGTCACAAGGCGTAGAAAGGGTGTGGGTCCACATGGGCGCATACGGGCGCACTGGACGTCAATAGGTTAA